GGAGCCCTCCCCGGAGCCGGGGCCGCGTCGGGAGGCGCGGGCGTCCGAGACCTCCTGCCGCTCGGCCCAGCGCCGCCGCGTCGGCTTCCCCACGAGGTGGGAGACCGCCCTCCCTGTTGGCCGACTTCCGAAGAGACCCTGTTTTTTCCGCCACTGAGGTTGAGAGGTTCTGGAATCGAAGCATCAGAGGAGGTGACGTGACCCTTCTGTAATGTAACCCTTCGGATCTGGACAGGCCGCCTTCGGGGCCGGGAGACCGCAGTGGAGCATCCGCCGGGGCGCAGGAATGGAAGAACCCACCTCGCACCCTTTCTGCGGCGTCGCGTGCCCAACCCACCCTTCGGCATGAGGGGGGCCGCTGTAGGAATCCCGCCGAGGTCCTGACAGCCCGATGGCGACGGAGATACCGCGGGACGGAAACTAGGGATCGTTTGGGGGCCGCACGCGTTTCTGAATGAAATCGGGCGAGCGTAAGGAGGCGCCCCATTAAAAAAGCACAACAGCCCTTTACGAGGAGAAAAATTGAATTTCCCCGTTTTCGCCAAGGTTTTGAAGACTGTTGTATGCGTTGTACATTTGGTATAAGATGAGAACTTTATAAAGTACTCTGTCCGAGAGTGTAAACGATGACTACCCCAGCCCTGCTGCCCCTGTCTGGACGAAGGATACCGCCCCTGAACTTGGGGCCGCCTGCCTTCCCGCACCACAGAGCTACCTTGAGGCTGTCCGAGAAGTTCATTCTCCTCCTCATCCTAAGTGCCTTCGTCACCCTGTGCTTTGGGGCGTTCTTCTTCCTTCCAGACTCTTCAAAACACAAACGCTTTGACCTGGGTTTGGAAGATGTGTTAATTCCTCACGTAGATGCCAGCAAAGGGGCTAAAAACCCCGGAGCCTCCCTGATTCATGGACCCGATGAGCATAGACACAGGTTTGTTTATTTCAGAAGTTCTGGTATTCACATTGGGCAGAGCGAGGTATGGTTTATTGCATCGGATCTGTTCTATTTGCTTTTTCTTTTTCGGTAAAATGTCATTTTTCCCTGAGTCGTGAGACTTGTTTCAAAACTGGTTGAGTAGAACCAGAGACTGAAAGGGCTCCTCGAGCCCCATTTAAAGTCCAACGCCTTCGTTTTATATGGGAGGAACAGTTGCGTCCAGAGATAACCTAAAGAAATAGTGACATATGTTATACCTTCATTTATTAAGAATGTGTTGCATTCAGTCATTGTGCCACCCAGTGAAATAGATGATACTGAACCCTGACAGCTTCTGTGGGTTTGTCCTCTGCCAGAGGTCTCTCATTCTCTCACTTTGTAATTAAAGCTTAGTAGCGAATCTTAGCTTTTTAGGAAGACAAACATGGCAGGATATACCTGTCATTTCTTGATATGCAAAAATATCCTGATTATTATTTTCAGGGGATGTGTTTGGGTACTCAGTATGAAATTAGTAAAGTTAAAGATGTCATTGAATCTTGCCATATTTTTAAATTTAATATTGCCCTAAAACAAACACACACACACACACACACACACACACTCACTAATTGAGAGGTGGAGTGTATCAAGTAACTATTAGAAGATGATCAATTAAAGGGTACACATTCTTTCAAATCACCAAATCTGAAATGAGCTCTTGGGAGAGTTTAGCCAAATTAAGATAAAACGGGAGCTCTAGTTACAGCCCCTTTAAATCATTTATGTAATTTGTATCAAAGAAGAGTTTGGGACAGTAGTTTCCTTTTCTCAGACCTGCAGTTGTGTGTTTTTTTAACCTGCTAAATGTTTCCCCTTTTTTCTCTATTTCTTAAAATAATCTTTGAGTATGTGATAAAAATCATATGCTTGAGTTGTTTTCAGCTGACATTAGTTTTAACTTTTTATCAAGCACAAGGTCTTGAGAAAGCTTAGTTTCAAATGTGAGCCTAAGTTAAATACTTGCAAAAATGCACTGTTGTAATGAGAAGTGGTTTTTCCTTTTTCTCAGCCTTGTTAATTTATTATTTGCTTGCTGATTCTTTGACTGTTGTCTGAACCTTATGGAGTAGTTACTTGAAAATTGTTTCATGCCATTATTTTGTAATTAAGTTAATTTGGAATTTTTTCCATCATTTTCAGCTTCTGTACTCTTTTGTGTTTATTTCTTTTATTTTGCCTTTTGCTCTTTGTGAATTTGAGAAAAATATGATGTGATCTGTGAACTATGTTGTTGAAAAATTAATACTGAAAGTACTGTTTTCCTTGAAAATTTTATTTCCCATGATATTTATATAAGCTATGGGAAATATTTGGAAAATATTTTTTGAGCTCCTTGATGGCCATGCATTAGCATTATTTGATTCTGTCTGTCCTATACTAAGCAGTTTCCTTTATATTTTAAGTGTGGTCTAAAGGTTTAAAAATATATATGGCAACCTTCTAGTTTAAAAACACATAGAAAAATTCTCAGTTAAGTAGAATTAAGATTTAGAATGTGAATGAAAATACAGATATGTACATTTTATTCACATTTTTAAAAGCCTATTTAAATCTCTTAAGAATGCTGAAATTTATATAGCCTGTGAACACATATGCTTGTGTATTGCTGCTATCCAAAACTGTTGGGTTCCTGAGTTTGGAGTGAGAGACTGGTTATTGAATTCTGATAGCAAGGGATAGTAAGTGACCCAAATCCTGAGTTTTGGGTAGTGAGAGTCTGGGTAGCAAAGTGATATATGTGAAAATTTATTTAAATCTGTTTGGTTCCTGAGTTTTGGAAAACAAGAATTCAAATAGTGAGAGTTCAGGTAGCCAGGGATCTCTGTGCATAAATTTCTGGGTTTTATCAGTTGTTTTTATATTTGCTTATAGTATGTTATCAGTTCTTGCTTAACCATATCTGAAAACACAGGCTATTAATGATAAGAATTGTAATTGGATCAATGAAGTGCATTTCAAGTTAGAGATGATTCACATAAGTTCAAAGTGTGAGACATAAAACATCAAATCATTTATAAACATTAACTTATTTAAAAATAATTCAGAAAGATAGCATTGTAACAGAATTAGTTTGTATTAAGAGCATATCTAATTTGAGTGTGGGTCAAAAAACCATCTTTCTTAATTTGGAAACTATAAATTGATAATTTGTGTGGAGAAGGGTGCAGGATAGAGGGATGCGGATAAGTAATGGAAAATAAATCATGGCCATTATTTCTTACTCATAGTATTTAAGAGATACTTTTTGAATTGGCTTTTCTTTATTAATGAATTAGTTTATTGTAGTAGTTAAGTGCTTAAGCTTTGGAGTTAGACTACATGGATTCATACCCTGTTTTGTTACTGATTAGATGTGTGCTTTTGAGCAAATTTTAAAACTTGAAGTTGCTACCTCTGTATGACAATGGCATCTATTTTACAGATTGTTATATTGAATGAGATAGTACAAAGTTCTTAGCATAGTTCCTAGCATTTAGTAAATGCTCAGTAAATATTAGCTTTTATTATCAATAATTGTAGTTAAATGTCTTTATTGATATTAGAGAGAGAGGAAGGGAGAGAGTGAGAAACATCGATGTGAGAGAGAAACATCCATCAGCTGCCTCTTGTACGCACCTTGATATGGGACTGAACCCACAACCTGGGCATGTGCCCTGACTGGGAATTGAATCTGCGGCCTGTAGGTGCACCAGACGATGCTCAACCAACTGAGCCATACCAGCCATGGCAATAATTATAGTTTTAATTGAATATTTTAATTCTGAGTCGTCTTACCTTTAAATACTGTACATGTTTCTGAAAAGTTAGGCACAGATTAATATTTTTGAAGTACATCAGAATCTTGTTGTCTAAAGGAACATTTTATAACCAAACCAGTTAGCAACAAATGTGTGTCGCAGGTCTACTCTGTGTAAGGCCCCGCTTTTATGGACCATCTGGGGGGGCAGTGATGGGCATTAAATGAATAAATTTGTTTTTGAGCTGTGATGAGTGTTTGGAAGTTGTTCTCAGTGCTATCAGAGCACACACATTGTGATTTAGCCTGTGGAAGCCCCAGAGTGGGGGCAAGGTTGGGGGTGGCAGTGAAATAGAGAAGGCCTCCTTGAGAAAGCAATGGCTTGGAAACTTAGAACAAGTGGGAGATCTTTGAGTGAAGTAGAGATGTGGGGGGAAAGTGATTAAAGCACAGGACACGCCCAGCCGGTATTGCCCAGTGGTTGAGTGTGGACCCATGAACCAAGAGGTCACCTGTTGGTTTCCAGGTCAGGCTTGATCCCCAGTAGGGAGTATGCAGGAGGCAGCCAATCAGTGACACTCATCATTGATGTTTCTCTCTCTCTCCCTTCCTCTCTCAGAAATCAGTAAAGATATGTTATTTTTTAAAAAAATCTAGACTTCTGATTTTTCTTGAAAAATTAGAGGATATGGAGGCATCCAAGTCTGTATTTTCAGAGGGCAGCACTCAGCTGGATCTGGGTAGCAGCTACTATCTCTGGAGGGACTTGTGCTCCTCACTTTATGCCACTCAATTAAGTTGCCAGATAACTAAATCTAGTGAATCAATATTTAACCTGGTTGTTGTTGAGTAAAGAATCTCTAGGCAGGATCCTGGAGTGTTTGTAAAGTGTTTCTATGGGAAGTTATTGAAGGGTTTTCATTAAAGCACAGGAATGACATAGTTATTGAAAAATGAATTGCAGTATAAACACTGGGTTGGAGAGGCGCAGGAGGAGATGTAGTGAACTCAGGAGGTTCTAGGTAATGGAGGATATTGGCTTAGACCACAATGGTGGTGGTGGTGAAGGAGAAAAATTAGTAGAGAAAAGTGGTTGATTCAAGAGACGTTAAACTCTTAAGTTTCACAGAAATTGGTGGTCAATTGACTATGGGGGGCTAAAGGAGGAGGAGGAGTGAGTCCAGGATAACTCCTAGTTTCTGGGTGATGTGGCTGTGGATTACTAAGAAATATATATTATATTTAATTAGATTTATGTAATTGATATTACATGAATTTAAGATAAAGTATTTTTATCAGAAAACCTATATATTCCCTTTCTATTCAGTGGTTCATAAATAATTCAGAGTTTACAAACAATATATACCTTCCAGATGATAATATGAAGTGTATAGTTTGGTATTGATGATAGTCATTTTTAGCATGTGTGATTTTAAAGTAACCAAAACAGGTATTGGTTATAATAAACATGAATGTTGTTATAAATATATACTGATATACATAAAGTATCGTGTTCATTTTTTGTGTATATAATAGACCTAATTAAAATGTTACTAATTTCTTTTGAAACACATTTGTTTTATATAATAGTATTATATAAATGGGCTTTTTTTGTTGTTGTTGTTTATTTATTTGAATTGCCAGTAGGTTTCATCCACCTGTGAGGGTTTTGTTAGTCTGAATTGAATACTTGAGGATCAGGTGTATGTTAACTTCTGATTTTTCCTCAAACAGAAAGAACATAGGCTTAGGAGTTAGAAGGGCCTGAAGTTGCATCTTGGTTCTACTAACGAGCTGTGTGACATTTAACTAGACATAATCACTCTAAACCTGTGTTGGCCGATATAGTAGTCATTAGTGATATGTAGCTATTGAAATTGAAATGTGGCTAGTTCAAGTCACAGTGTGCTTTAGTGAGAGTTTCTAAAGTTTTTCATGTCATGATTTGTATTTTTTGCTTAATTCAGTTGGCCTTTTATTGCAGAAGTAGAGATCTAAGATCTCACTTTTATTATTTAAATTTTCTTTTTTCATCTCATTCTTCTTCCATTCTTTTTCCCCCTCTCCTGCTCTTTACTTGGTGCGTTCTGCTTTTTTGGGGGGGTTACATCACTTTACCCTCTAAGTGTGCTGAACTTTCCCTTGCGGTGTATTTCCCCTCATGGGCTCATGGTTATTTTTCCTACTTCTCTTTACTCAGATGGGAATAAGATAA